TTGAAAAAAAAAAAGTAAGAATAAATTATTTTTTTAATTTAAAATTTCACATTTAAAAAAAATACTATAATTATTAACTAATCATTGTGTTTTATCTTATGTCCTAAAAGCACAAGATAAACAAACTCAATTAAAATATATAATCATTGTTCTTAAGTTAATTAGTACTAACTTGCACGGAAAGATATTTCTTTCTATATCTTTTCGAGTAATTCATAATGCATCCATCATGCATTAACGACCACAGATCTAGAGTTCACAGATTAAAAATGATATTTACATAAATGAAGTATAGAGATGTATTTAATTTCTTGCTGAGATCAATACATGACAGTCAAAATTTTCAATAATGGGAAAACTTGTGGCCTCATGCGCCACAAGAATTTGAATAGATGATTGCAGCCAATGACAGCTTAGCAGAATTAGTTGGAGTTTTGGTAAACGTCTTTGTAAACATCCTTCTGTCACTATATTCATACGAGTAAGGTTGGAAATTAAGGTTTCGTTTGAAAATTCTTTTATGTGTTTTAACTTTAACGTTATTTATATTATTATTATTTTAAAAAATATTTATTAAAATAAATATAAATATATTTATATATTTTTGTTGTATAAAAAATATAAAAACTTATCATTACAATTACAACTAGGGTTCAAAACTCTTAAATAAAATCCTAAGTTGGGGTTTGGCCACAAAAATGTCAACAAAAATAATATTTCTTAAGCACCAATTATGTACTGAAATGCAATATCTATGATGTTAAGACTATTATGAATCATATTAAAACAATTAATTCATGACATGGGATGTCAAAGAACCTTGAGAAGGCAGCCACGTAAACCGATTTTTTTTTTTTTTGGTTTCCCGCCCAATATCCGAGGTTCATCCCGACTAATCTGAACCTGACTCGCGTCGCACCTGGAAATGGTGGGTGAGTCTCCCAACGGGGCTGCATATACAAAGGCTCGAACTCGATACCTTATTTAAACTGAAACAAGCCGCTTACCACTTAATTCAACCCCTCGTTGATTTTTTTATACATAAAGAAATACAGTGTTAGGGTAATATTTATTTGAAAAAAGTCAAGTCTAAAACTCGACCTACAAATCATAATGCATTCCACCTCCACGTAAACCGATTTTCTTTTTTTTTGGTTTCCCGCCCAATATCCGAGGTTCGTCCCTACTAATTCGGATCCAACTCGCGTCGCGTACTTGGAAATGGTGGGTGAGTCTCCCAATGGAGGCTGCATATACAAGGGTTCGAACTCGATACCTTACTTAAACTGAAACAAGCCGCTTACCACTTGATCTAACCCCTCATTGATTTTTTTCTACATAAAAAAATACAATGTTAAGGTAATATTTATTTGAAAAAAGTCAAGTCTAAAACTCGACCTACAAATCATAATGCATTCCACCTCCACGTAAACCGATTTGAATGGTCTAATCATGTGCATTAATCGTAACGCATGACACGAAGACTACAATGTTTTGGAATCAATAACCGTGACAGACACTTCATATTTTGCTACTAAAATATTAAGAACTTGTGCAGCTTGAAATCACCTTGACAAGTAATCAAGGCTAATTGGTCCCGGAGAACCTACTTGGAATGCAAATTAAATTCCAAGGCACCAAGTTCTTGGGTGGGTGACACTTTAAAACCAGCTCAGCATTATGTTCTTTTCAACCATGGGGAATCGATTGGGCCTAGTTTTTCTTTCCCATATCTAGCCTAAAATATTTCTTCAGCCCATTTCTAGTGACAGGCCTCAATATTCTTGATCCGAAATCTTATGCATTCCAGTCCCCAACCCGCCATTAATCTTGACGGTGTTCAGCAAGATTTGGTCATCAGACGATGAGGAGGTGACTATGCGAGGAGTGAGCGCCATTGATAGATAGGCGGAATTAGAGAGGAGTTCAACGGCATTGGAGATGGCTCCGGAGGTGATAGAGGCGGAAAGAGAGAGGAGAGAGCTGGATCGCCATTGATGGAGCTCTGAAATGGTATATATAGTAAATGCAATGGGCGTAGGTGCAAAAGAAATTTTCATTCAGGTGCAAGGTTGTACAAATCTTGAATATATTCTGTGTAGGTGCAGGCAGACAGAATTGGGATGATGACAATGCAACAGGTTATCCTTTTACCAGAGGATTTCTGTTCCAACATAGAAGTGCCAAATCCCAGGTAGAACAGACAACAGGATACAAGCAGCAGCACAAGATGAAGAAAATATTCCTGATTGTAGACTTCCGGGTGGCCCAACAATAAACACTAGCCGCCAAGTCAAAAAAATGTACAAATGAATCCACTTGTTTCTGCTCATTGTGTCAACAACATTGAACCCTATGGTAACAACCCTCAAAAAATAGTCATACAGACCAAAGAATCTGTCTCATCTGATGGCGGTCTTTTGATCCTTTCATTGGATTCAGATAGCATCTGCACTCACGTCTCACATTATCCATCTTATGTTTGCAAGTCTTCATTTGCACTGATTGGACTGTGAACTCAAATCATCCAAAAGGTTTGTGATAGCCTCCTCGAACCTCTTCGCCTGAGGTCCAGCCTTCAATACATTGACATCGCCCCACTGGGAGCAAGGATCGATAAACCAGCTCTTCCGGCCAGTGCACCATGCCCCCGGGGTAACTCTGTTTTGCCCACGCTTGAGGATCTTCTCATCAATCATATCCAGCACAGGATCATCTTGTTTAAATTGTCTTGCAAAAGCAGCTCCGCTGTCAACCATTTCTTCAAAATCAGAGATGTTGAGAAAGTGGGGTTCCATCTTTGGAGGATTGTCCCAGATCATGTATCTTAAGTCACTGTTTACAGTTGTATTCTTAAACTCCGGTAAATTGCAAATGACGGTATGGAAATAGCTTTCTTCTGCTAAAATGGCATTGTTAAAATACATCAGAAGGGTCCGGGGTAGATTATCCCAGCCATAAAGGCAAAATTCCAGAAATGACCTACTCAGGACAACCCAAGGGGAACCTGCAATACAAAAACAGACCATAAATAACTAGCAATTCCACAAAGGAAAATCAGAAATGTGATCTTGGACTTTACCTGTGAATACTTTGAAAGCATCTGGTGTTGGTCGTTTCTCTGTAGCAGTAAAAATTTGGGTCCTCCTAGCTAGGTACAGTGCAGGGTCGACTATAATAGGTTGGATACGCTGACCTCTGCACCAGAAGCAAACCCTTACGATCATATTTAATTTAATTAAAATAAATGCAGCAGAAGTATGCATAGATAAGTGAAAAGGGGTTTGCCTACTCTTTCCATCCAAGGTCACTAGAATGATCAAGAAAATTAAGGCCTCTTGTAACAGTGGAGAATACATGAGACAAGTCTGAAATGCAACACAAGAAAAAGGGTTAGCAGAATTCAGAATAACACAGCATAGTTCTTTAATTAAAAAAATGTACCAAAGAAGACAATAACATAACTGAGATCAGCACGAGGAGTTTCTCAATTTGAAACAATGAGAAGAAATGCAAAAGGCATGGTTGAATTTAGGGATAATAAAACATAACAAAGAGCAATGAAAAGCCAATAATGGCATCAGAGATTTACATCAAACTCGTGAAGCATAAGAGAATAAAGATGCCAACCCTGGGTTGAACAGTGAACAGTAACAGTGTTTTACCGCATCAATTTAAGTCAGAGTTTGTTATAGCCTTATACTCGAGTTGAACCTCTCACCTATTTTCCTAATTTTAAGATGGAATGCCTTCCCATGGCATAACCCAAGTTGTCTGTTACCTCCTCGATATCAACACATTTTCATAGTTCATGTGAAAGTTCCATTTATTTTAGCTGTTCTTTTGAGCCTCAAAGGTGGTGGGGGGGGCGGGGGGGGTGGTAACAAGTTGGGTGTCTAACCTATTACCATTTGCCCTTTTTTTGGATGCCTTAACAAAAACAAATAGAGACATAAGTGAGCTCACTGAGGTTATTTTTGGGCACCATCTTCAAATCACATGCCTATTGGTGTCACGAAAGGATCCAAAGGTTTTCCAAAACAACTAGCTGCATTCCAAGGATCTTAAGACCTATGACCTCTCTTGCATTCAAGAAGGGCTACTGCATGGACATGCGATTAGGCCTCAGATATGCATAGACTCACAAACAAAAGATACTTTGGCTTTAAAAGCTCACTTCGCAACTGCCGGAACATCCAGATCAAGCTGCCAGATATTGGAAACTTGTGTCAACTTCTTCAGCCACTATGCTTTTGCACTGATCTTACCTTCAGGTATTCAGATTTCTCCTCTTTCATTGCCTATCATATTCTTTGCAGATAAGCATTTGCCCCTTTAAACTTCTCTTTGTTTGATAATGAGATAATGAAATCTTCAAATTAAGGAAATGATAACAGTGTCCTGTTTCAGCCATGAAGCAAGTGTCGAACACAACAATCCAAAGAACACACAACAAGCAGAGATGATGGCTGATCGAAAAACAAAAAAGCAGAGAAATGGAAAATTTCAAATTGCAAAAGTATTTTAATGGTCATAAAGATATACCAAATATTCAATCCCTAGCAAATCTAAATGTAAGTTTTGCTCTTAACAATATCCTAGGACTTCTCTTTTAAACCATGAACTTAGTAGAAACAAACAAAGCAACCTTCAGAATTTTAAACTTCCATGCTTTGTCTAGTACAATACTTAATCACACAATAAAACACAGAGAACATATGAAAAACTATAACCATAAACCTCCATCACTTATCTGACCTACTAAACCTTTTAACCTTTCGATGCCAGCCAATCTAAATCAAAATCCACCATAGCCAGTCTACTTTGCAAAACTCTCGGAAAATTAAACACTAAAATGGACTGAAGTGATCAGCTGATTTGGGTGCATCAGTTAAAGGAGGGGATTGTCAGGGGACTGGGGGAACACTGCTTAACTTATGTCACATTAGCATGAAGAAATTGATTTTTTTTTTTTTAAATAGTAATATAAGTATTCAGTCATCCTCCATGACATACCATCCAAGGATCTCAACTCATACACATGGCCATGGATAGGTTAATTGGGTTAAAACAACTTTAAAATTTAAGGAAAAAAATTCATTTCCTATGGGACATTTTCTGAGTAAAATCTAGATAAAAACCAGACAATACCCTTCTAAAGTCTTTCTAAACCTAGAAGCGAAAATTTTCATCCAGACAGTTAATGTATTGCCAAAATCAATTCAAACTTCTATGTTTCATACAGCATTGTCAGAGCAGCCCCGAGTCACAGATCTCCGGCTTCAGCCAATCCAGTCTTTCACATAGAAACCTACATCCATAATCTATTCAGCTATCAAACATTTTTCATACTAACATCTTCACACAAAGGACTGGGAAGAAAACCTTGATGGATACAGTTAGATACATGAAAGATAAATAAAAAAGATCTGCTTTAACTTAGAAACCACGTTGTATAATTTATACTGAATCAATAAAATTCATTCAATCAAGTGATTCCAACTCAATAAAAACTAGTGTATCCCACTAAATACGCCTAAAAGTCAACTTTTATACCAAACAAAAACCCACGAAGTCCTAGTCAATCCACATTAGAACCACAACATAAATCTCATCAAAGCAACAATTTTCAGTTCCAAAAACCAATAAAACATCTAATCAAATCACAAAAACAACGTACCATCTGGTGTGAGCAACGGATAGTCCTTGGCGCTCAAAGCAATGAACCAATCCCACCCACTATCGAGCTTAAGCAAAATGGAAGCAGCACGCAATGTCGCTGAAATATGCGACGACCCCATAAAACTAAAACGACTAGGCTTTCCAACAACGTCGACATTTCCGAAGCTTCGAATTGCTGGTACAGATTTCACAGCCACAACAAGCCTGTACCTATCTTCATCCGAGGCATCTGCCCCAAGATGCAGCACATACCGATTCCTCGGATGATAAACAGCTAGTAGCAACCGAAAGATCCGATCCCTATCGCCCCGACCTCCGAACAGATAGTACCCAAAAGCCGGCGGATGATGTGGGCCATGATGAACAACGGAAGGGAAGATCCTTGGGGAGCTGAAAGCAGGGATAGAGTACAGCAATAGAAGTAAGGAAAGAAATGCGGTGGAGATGAGAGTAAATAGCCATTTCTTTTCAGCTCCCATAACACTGCAGCTCTTTTTGTTCTTCTTCTTTTCTCCTCTGTTGTCGAATTTGGGGCATATGGCTGCAATTAATCGAAATGAGAAATTCTCGGGTCGAATTTTGGTTCCGATGGAGTTAAAGGAAATGGGAAGGACCTCCGTATTGAATTTGGACGCTGACGAAATTTGAGCAAACGGGAATGCGGCGACGGCGATCTTGTTGCCTGTGGGATGAACAGTGGCTATAACAGATAAGAGCAATGACTTCCAAACAGGGACAAGTAATGCTGATTTTTAGATCAGAACGGTAAAAATTTCTGACATTTCTCCCTGTTATGCCTGTAAAACATCAGTTATTCTCAAACATCAGAACTCCGGGGTGGTTCTGCGTTCGATCTTAGGCCGGAATGTGGAGAGAAGAGGTGGCTAGGGTTAGGGTTTTTTGTTTTTTTTGCAGGTGAGAGTTGCGAAGGAAACAGAGACCAGGAGATTGAAGTGTTCCCACGGTTTCTATAATTTCCTTTGATTTTCGACGCAAGAAAAAGGTGCACCAAACCTCAACTGCTGGCTCGAACTTTGTATATACTGGAATATTCACCGCTTAAATTGCATGTGAGATATACGCGTCAGAAGGTTATTCCTTTTTACTACTCAGAAAATTAAGAAAAAAAAAAGATAAAACATATCCTATATCTATTTCAAAATAACGATAATTATTTGATTTTTTTTTAAATTAAGATAACTTACAGGATATATGTTACTCTATTTTAAAATAATATATATTTTTTAATATCTTTAAAAAATAAATATTTTTAACTTTTAATTATTTTTTAATTTTAATTGTCTATAATCTTTGATAAAATAGCTTTTTTAATTTCTTTTTGAAAGTAAAATAGATAAAAATAGAAATTACCTCTAACTTTTTAATTGAAAGATGAATTTAAGAAATCTATTTTTTAAAGATAGAGAGAATAATATTTTAAAAAGAAATAAAAGATAAAGAAAGATTTGTTATGATTTGACAATTAATTAAAAAGAATAAATAATGATATATTTAAAATAAAAAAATTAGTTGTTTACTTTAAAAAATAAAAAAAGTAAAAATTAATTTCAAACAAATTTAAAACCAAAAAATTATAATTATTTTAAAAAAAATAGAGTATTTGAGTTCTTATATAATAAATTTTCATCTAAAATATAATCAAAAAATATTTTTTAAATCTATATGTAAGGAAAAAGTATAAGAATATTTTTTTATATAGAAATTGAAGAATGAATCTTAAATTTGTAACTAAAAGTATAAATAATTTTACTATTAAATCACATGACTAATCGTGTGTAAGAACATTTTTGCATTAAAATGCATGTAAAATTTTTTTAATATCCCTAAAAAATTTTCTTTGCATGTTAATATATGGAAAATGTTTTGAAAATAACATTTTTGTATTATTTTTTTGTGTAATCTTACTTGTTATTTAAATAATTGATTTTTTTTATTCATTTGAAACTTATGATATTAAATATATTTCATAATTTAATGAAATATAAAAATTGTATAAAAATTATATAAAAAATTTGTTTTTATATCACCATCCTTAATATATTTCTCTAAAAGTACTTACTCTCTTTGTTTAAGTTCAGTAAATTTTTTTAATAAAACAAAAAATAAATAATTAATTAATTAAATTTTATATTATTTTAATTAATTATTATTTAAATAAATCTTTTTATTTAATATATATGATAATTACTTTTTGAAAATAAAAATTAAATTAAATATATCTAATAGCATTCTAAAAATATAAAATAAAGCAACGACATTTAGATCCAATAAATTGATGGAAGGAAATGGTAATTAATTTCACAGATTTTTTTTTTTCGTACCAAAGAATCCACAATCATAAATAATTTTATTTTCATTTACCTAATTACTCACTAACATTTCAGGTTGGGTGGCACGCGCCATGAGAGGAGTTTGTGGCGTCTGATTTTTCTGTAGTTTTGCTGGAAGAATTCTGCCGCTTTCTACCGAAAAAAAAAAAAGGGGAAAAAGAAAACAGAGGCACTTTTGGTAGTATTTCTGAGAGGCAGGGGGGACGGGATTTGGACTTCTACAAAATCTTTTCTTTTCTTTTTTTCTTTTATGAAATTTTATTTTTAAAACATGGTTGACAATTGCAGGTATTGTAGGAATGTACTTTTGGTAGTGGAAAATTTAAGGAGTTTCTGTGAGAATATAAACGAAGAATTTATGTAAGATAATTATATAAATTTCAAAATTTTTAAAAATCATTATATTCATGAGTTTAAAATAACACTCTATCCTAAAAAGCTACAAGTTTAAGGGTGTATTTAGTTTAATTAATCAATCTTTTTTTTAACTAACGATTTGTTGATCCGAGGATAAGAAATTCGATTCCCTTAAAATCTCGAGTTCGAGTCTTATAAATAGAGAAATAAATACTGTGAGGGCTTCCCTCTAATGGGGTTCGACACGATTCGATTTTGAATTAGTTCAAATCCAATATAATTACCGGATATCAAAAAATTAATAAAAAAAATCAATCTTTTTTTAATAATTGGTTAGAATATTTAAAAATATTTGCATGTATATTAATTTTAAACTATTAAATTTTAAACATTAACTATCCTATCAAGTAACAATTGAAATTATTAATTCATTTACCATTAAAACAAACATATTTTGCACCTGAATCTCATGATTCAATGGTTAAAAGTAAGGATGGCAATTCTCCCTGTTTCCCGCGGGGCTTCGCAAAGATCCCACCATGGGGATGGGGTGGAAAGGAATATTCCTTCTTGCGGGGCGGGGACGGGGATCATTTTCTTCCCGTGAAATTTTACGGGGAGTTTTTTTCGCCCTACGGGTCCCATGGGGATCCCCATCTCTGCAAAAAAAAAAGTTTTTATTTTAAAATTAATTTATTCTTTAAACTCAAACCCAAACCCAAATCCAATCCAATTACAATTAAATTTAACCCAATTCTATCCAACCCAACCCAACTCCCAACCCAACCCATTCCCCTACATTTAACCCTAACCCTAATTTATTTTAATTCCCATCACTCAATCTCACATCTCTTGTCTGCAGCTTCACACATCTCTCACCTCCATCTCAACTTCAGTTTCCTCTGCTGTTGCTGCTGTCGAATCCATCTCCTCTGTTGCTAGTGCTATTGCCGCCACCAGAGCCATTTGTTGTTGTTGCCGGACCCATATGCTGTTGCCACCACCGGACCCATCTGCTGCTGCTACCGTTGAACAACCAAAGCCATCTGCTCTGCTATTGCTGCTGGAGCCATCTGCTGCTGCTACCACCGGAGCCATCTGCTATTGCTACTGCCGCTGAACAGCCGAAGCCATCTGCTCTACTGCTACTGCCGAAGCCATCTGTTGCTGCTGCTGCCTGACCCATTTGCTGTTGCTGTTGCTGCCACCGAAGCCATCTGCTACTGCCGCTGAACAGCCGAAGCCATCTGCTGTTGCTGAATAGCCGAAGCCATCTACTATGCTACTGCTGCCGGAGTTATTTGATGTTAATTGGTAGCGAATAGGGATCCCCGCAGGAAACGGGGATAGGGCAAAATCTGTCCCCTGTTAAAAATCCCCGCGGGATCCCCGTCCCCATGATTCGCAGGGATAGGGACGAGGATGGGGAAGGGGAAGGGATCCCCGACCCTGACTCCGTTGACATCCCTAGTTATAAGTTGACTTGTAAGGGACATCCTCCTAACCCAAGGCTAAGATTTGAATCCCCTCACTCTAAAATTGTAAACTTATTTTAAAAAAATAAACAAACAAACAAACAAATCCTAAATCTAGAAGGGAGAAGTAGTATCAGGATAGAATTTTTAATTTAGATTTTTAGATTTTTTAATTTTTTATTAATATATTTAAGTATCAATGGTAATATACAACTAGTTTTTTTTTTACCCATTCGTTGCACGGGTTTGTTTTTATGTTTTTTATATTATTTATTTAATATTATAATAATTTTTTAATCAAAAATTTTTAATTGATTTAAGTATTAAGAAATTATTGATAAAAATAAGTATTTTTTATTTTACATATAACAAATTTTAGTGCCTAATTTAATTCTTGAGGGTAGTATTTTATATAATATATATAAAT